TATCCTCATTAAACTCTCCACGCCCTTGATGCACAAGGCCCCTCCGAGCCCGGACTGGGACAAGGTGGACTGGCCACCGGTACTTGAAACCCTGCGGAAAGCCGATGTCCCACCGCCGCCTTCCCTCCCTACATCCTCCGCCCTCAGCTCGTGGTTCGATCGACACCTTGGTGCCCTTTCAGCCCTACTCTTGGCCCCTGCCCCGCTAAAACGCCCCTCACTTAGGTCCAAGCCTTGGTGGTCGCCCCTTTTGACCTCACTGCGCCGCGCTTTCAATGCCGCTGCCAGAAGGTCCCATGCCTCCCCCTCTCCCACACTCAATACCAAGGCCCGTGAGGCCCGCTCCCTCTACTTCAAGGCGATCAAGAAGGCAAAGGCCGAGCATTGGAAGAGCTTCCTTGCCAAGGTTGACTCCCGCTCAGTCTGGACGGCCAAAAGGCTTGCCACTGGAAGAGCCCCCGACCGCTTCCCCTCCTTTCCCGGCCTCTCCTCTCCCGAACAGATTAACTCAGCACTCCTGAACCACTTTTTCCCCCACAAAACTTCCACTCCCACCCTGTCTATCCTCAGGCCCTTCCGAGATTCGCCCCCTCTCTCCCCCGAGGAGGTACAGAAGGTCCTGTCTAAGTCATCAAACTCGTCAGCCCCTGGCCCGGACCAGATCCCTTACGGGGTCTGGAAGAAGGTCCATGCAGCTAATCCCTCCCTCCTTGTTAACCTCCTCTCTCCTTTACTAGCTTTTGGCTTCCACCCCCCCTCCCTCAAAAAGGCCAATGGAGTCGTTCTCTCCAAGCCAGGTAAACCAGACTACTCCTCGCCCACCTCCTTCTGCATCATTGTCCTCCTCCAGACAGTCTCAAAAATCCTGGAACAGATTGTTGCCTCTCGCCTTTCCCCAATTGCCCGCTCACGCGGCCTGATCAACCCAAATCAGTGTGGCTCGCTCCCAGGACTCAGTACCTATGACGCCTGCGCTGCCCTCACCCACGAGATCCGATGCCTCCAGAGGCCCGGGCTCAAAGCCTTGTCACTCTTCCTTGACATCAAAGGGGGGTTCAACAACATCAATTCAACGCTACTCACTACTTTCATGAAGTCCAGGGGGGTGCCTCCATACAACTGTGCCTGGGTTCAGTCTTTCTTTTCTAACAGAAATTGTCGTCTTCTCTTTCAAGGGTCTCCTAATGTGTTCTCTCCAGTGCAGGTGGGCGCGCCACAAGGGTCTCCTATTTCTCCTCTCCTTTTTGTCATCTATGTGTCTCCTCTTCATTTGGATATTCCTAAGGGAATTATGTTTTCCTATGTTGATGATTTTACTGTCACGGTGGCTTCTCTCTCCTACAGGCGCAATGTTCAGCGCTTACAACATTACTTTCTGGCACTGAAGAGGAGGGCGATTGCTATAGGCATGTCCTTCTCTGTGCCCAAGACCGAACTGACCCACTGGAGGACCTCAAGGGACCATGGGGCTCGCTGCTATACCCCAGTCACCCTGGATGGTACCCTCTTCCAACCCGCCAGGCTGGTTCGCTGGCTTGGCTACTGGTTTACCCCTAGCCTGGAAACCTCTCCTCACTTCGCAAAACGGTTGGCACTCGCCCAGGGGGCCTTTGCTATCGTAAGCCAACTCGATCCCCCCGGCAAAGGCTTGCCTCCTTATCTCAATCGAAGGCTCGCTGTGGGGCTCATCCTCCCCATCCTTTCCTACGGGGCCGATCTTCTGGTACCCAACGCTTCTTCACTCCACAAGATGGAGGTCTTCTGGAACCGGGTCCTCCGATGGGTGACCAATTTCTTCCACTCCACCCCTACATCAATCCTCCCCTGCGAGGCCAGCATCCCCCCCCTGGTAGTCCTTCTCCCCCATAAGCGCCGAATGGCGGCCTTGAGATTGGACTGCTCCCCACCTGAAATTAACCCGGCCGTGGCCAGGCTCCCCTCGTCCTTTCCCTCCGCATCAGTAGTAAGGGCCCCGGACTCCAACCGGGCACTGTCCACCGGGCTGAAGGGTAACGCTTACCCCCTACTCTGGAAGACCCCCAGACCCTCTCCTGCCGTAAGGTCACACCTGCCTATTGATGGCATAGCTCACTCCATGGCTCGAATCACTGCCAAAGGAACCCTCCCAGGCCTGAACAGTCACCTAGTCCCCGCGGCGGTCAGCAATCTCTTCTCGTCTCAAAAGTACTCTCTCCTAAAAGCTACTACTCGGTCCCTCCTCTCTCAGGACGGTGCCCTACAAGCCCCCCCTCCTCTATACTATCCCTATCCTCCACCGGAGGCCCCACACCCCTTCATGGGGCTGGAGCGCTTTCTGGCTGGAAGAATACATCAGATGAGAGCTGGAAAGAGCTATCTAGCTGCCCATACCCCCTGGAACGAGCCAGACAAACCCACTACTTGCCCAGCCTGCGGCCTAGAGCCAGAGACCATGCAACATGCCAGCCTCTCCTGTCCCTCTAAGGCCGCCTTGAGACTGCTCCATATCCCGGGAGTTGATTCTTTGGGTGGCGAGGCTTCCCTGTGGGCTGATAAGGACCTCTTATCGGGCCTGGCACGTTACATTTCCGATACCAGAACCAACTTTTCCCCCCCCATGGGCGGGGGACGGGCTTCGCCCGGCACCAACCTTGTTTCAGATTGAAGGAGTAGTTCTTTCTGTTGTCTTTCCTGGTTTTAATTGACTTTTCGTATTGTATGTTTTCTCTGTGCGGGAGGAGGCTTGTCTAACGTTTTGTGATTAGTCGCCCTGGCGGGCGCAGTGGGTTGCATTACTCACAGGCGGGGATTTCTGGTGGAGAGATATTTCGTTATTGTTTGTTGCTTTTGACATTAAGGCTTTGTTTTTGCCATAGCTAGCGCTCCATGCAGGTTCTTGTACCTTAACAAAGAATATATGAGTTAAACAAAAAAAAAAAAAAAAAAATACCTTAGCTTTCAGAATCATCAGCGAACGCAGAAGAGATCTTATCAATATATTCGTTATACTTTGATACATACTTTTGTTACAAGCTTTCTTGACCACTCTCCGAGAAACCTTATTGGCCCCATTTACAATTCGTTCAACTTACAATTGGCTGCCTCCTAACAGATATACTCATTGCTGGAAAACTTGAACCCTCACTTGTCAAATAATGTGTGGACAAACTACAATCGCACTTCCAGTGTATGAACTCAGGAAATGCATTACTTTTACTTGGAATGGAAATTGAAACAACAAGCAAATCAATTCAGCTTTACCAGGAATGATATATTACTAAAATACTACAACTTTTTGATATGACCGAAGCTAAACCAATAGCTATTCCAATTGAACTAGTCTATTCAACACTGACAAAAGCCAAAGAAGATGACGAACTTTGTGACCAACAGCAGTATCAATGCATAATAGGATCACTAATGTACGCCACCATCACTACCCAATTAGACATTGCACACAGTGTTGCATTTCCAAGTTAGTTTTCATCAAAACCAATAACAACCCACCTCTCTGCTGCTAAGTGAGTTCTTCGATATCTTAAGGGAACCAAGATCAAAAGATTATGATACCATCAAAATTCAGATGAACAACCATTCAAATTATTTAGTGACGCCTTATTCGCCTCCACCCTTGATGATAGAAAATCGTTTACCAGTCTTATGGTACAGATATACGGCATTACAGTAATCTGGCCATCAAAGAAGCAGAAATCTGTCTCTACCTCAACTACTGAATCTGAATATGTCGCACTCACTTTTGCTACCCGTCAAAGTATTTGGATAATACATGGTTTATCACATATGAGAATCGGTATAGTACAGACCATATATTGCGACAATTCTGCTGCCATAAAGCTGACAGAGAATTCTGGCATTTCTGACCATATGAAACATCTTGATGTTCAGTATTATTATATGTGAGAGTTATAGGAAGAGGGGAAGATAAGGATTGTTGCAGTCGGAATAGAAGATAATTTGGCAGATATATGTATGAAAGGAATGTCAAGGATGTTATTTGAGGAGTTTTCGAAGAGGCTAGGAATGGAATCATTGCAGAAGTGTTGAAATATACGGTATCCTATTTCTAACCAGTGATGTGGCTGTGTCGATCATGTGATACAGTCGTATGACCAATGAATGTACTAGTAGATTCTAGCAGGTTCTAGTTATTTCCTTGGTATGGGGCAGTGCTTGTGTAACGTTAGAATGGTATGTACAGGGGTGTAGTTTTCCTTCCTGTTAATGGAGCATGCAAGCTTGGATTTATCTTACTAGTCTTAAGGATATTTATCTTATCAAGTCTACTATACTTATCACAAGTACAAGTGACTTAGAGGGAAAATTGAACACTCTGCAATGTAGGCTCCAGCGCTAGTTATGAATACCCAGTCCGAGGAGAGTCAGACTGGTATTTCATCCATTTTTATATTCCACTCTTATCTGGTCAAGTTCAATTTCCTAATGTATGTTTGTATTGCCGGATAGGGCGCAAAGCCCAAATTTCGAGTATTACCGCTGCTAAGACTGCTGCGGACATCAACTGGTCTTGTTTAGGCCTAAGGAAATGTTGAAAATGCTGTTGGACCCAATAGGTGGAATCGTACTGACAAACAATGGACATGCAATTCAGAGAGAAATTGACGTCGCTCATACTGCTGCTAGGAGCCTGATTGAGTTGAGCCGCAAATATGATCATTTTCCCCACCCTGTTGACTACTACTATTGCCTCTAGTTCCTGGGTGTTGGGGGGATTGAGGTTTGTACTGTACAGTAGCAGGCTGGGTTCATTTAAGGGGGTAACCATTAACTTTACGACCCCCTCTGTGAATAGGACGAAGAAGTTGGAGGTGGTACTACTACTGTTATTGCCCCGCCGGTGAAATCCTCGCACAAACTCTCCAGCACTTGCAATGCAACACCCATCCCGCCGTTGTTATCCAGGCTTTCCAGAGAGCTCTTGCCGATGTCCTAGCTATCGTTGAGGACATCCTATTCCTATCTCTGCCGGCGATGATGAGGCGATGCATAACTTGATCCAGTCTTATATTGGCACAAAGTTTGCTTTTCCATGGTGGAAGCTGATGTTTGATCTTGCCCTTTCGGCTGTTCGCACTGCGGTGAGGGATCAGAGGGGAAGGAAGGAGGTCAACATCAAGAATCACACCAGGGTCAAGAAGATTTTCGGAGGAGAGATTGAGGATTCGAGAGTTCTTGACGGTATCATGCTGAATAAGGATATTACGCACCTAACTATGAGGAGGAGGATTGAGAACCTTAGGATTATCTTGCTGGATTGCGGGCTAGAGTATAGGGGGGCAGGGCCTCAGACCAAATTTCGAAATTAGTAAGGAGGAAGACCGGAGTAATATCTTGGAAATAGAGGAAAGACCGGTTGTGGTTATGTTGCTATTTTAGTGTTCAAGCCGGATTTGGTCAATACTGAGAAGGGAGTTTCTGGTGTCTGGTTTGACATTGGGGTGAAAGACTAACGCTGCAACCTTAAGATCTTGCTCATCACTACCTCCTCAAGGGAAATGTAACAGCCCTCCGCCATGCCAGAAAGACCAATAACAACCGTGTCACCCGCGCCGTTGGTGCTACATTTGTGAGCCGTGTAGACGATATCAATGAGTCAGATGTTAGTACAAAATGCGGTCTCTGTGAGATTGAGAAGATTAGTGATGAGTACGATATCCTACCCTCTGAAACTTGAGGGTCCCGTGGAAGCAACATAGCTGACGCTCTTCGATACTTTTCGTTTAAGACAAAGTGTGAAGATCCTAAAGCTTGCACTATCCTCCGCCGTAGCCCTTCTAAGGATATCCTTAACGAAATCGAACGCAATATCCAAGTCGCAATAGAAATAGAGCGCAAGGTCTTTTTTCCACCGCCGGTTAGCTACTAGAGGTGGCAAAGCTGTGATGGCTATCTCTGTGCTTCTTATGATCTCAAAGTCTATTGAAGGTGTGCAGCAGCGGCCATACAGGGGAGTTGCAGAAACCCTGGAAGTTGTTCCTAGGACACTGGTCACGAACTCCGGCGCTAGCCCAATCAGTGCACTTACCCAGTTATGTGCGAAGTGTGTTACGAAGGAGCATACCTGGGGATTGACGGCGACACCGGTAAGATTGTTGGCTTGAAGGAATAAGGTGTCAGGGAGCATGAGGCGGTAAAGTTGCAGAGCATCAAGACAACAATTGGGGTGGGGGGGGAAACTTACGGGATTGAGTTCGTTTGACTGGTAATTTCTCCCCCCGTGTAGATGATACCTGTAGTGCCAAGGGAGCTAAACAAAGTAGTAGGGCTGGTGAGGGTCAAGAGGAATAGACAAAAGTTACTGAAACATAGAACTATTTTATTAAACCCTTTGGGCAAAGTTGTATCAAAATCTAATCGCACCACATTTTAGAAGTGCTAGAAACTTTAAAAAGCGCCAGTATTGTGAGATGTTGAAACGACTGAGGTTGGTTGAGAAAGAGACATGGGGGTAGATTCGACTACCGGTATTATACAGGAAAGAACAAGGCACTGTTTGCCTATGTTCACACGGCTCCACTCGCCGCATCACCCACCGCATCACCCGCGGCAACACTGGCCGACCTGTACCCCGCAGTCGAGAATACAATCCCCCCACCCTGCCCAAAACACCAACCCCCCCAAACAACCAGCCTCAAACAAACCCTCGCGAGAAGAGCCCAACCAGACCCCCACTCCAAATCATGCGGCCAAAGATCCCCCATTTCTAAAGGCCGCATGAATGCAGTCCACGATGATCGAGGACTCCCTCATCCATTTTCTTTTCTCGCGTTCCATATTATCGAACATTACCTGGAAACGACTTGTCTGAGTGAAAACCCCACAATCGTAGCGGATCATCTGCCACTGTTCCCCGGTCGTGACAAAACCATATAAGATGCCTCCACCATTGCTCTCTCCCATATCTTTTAGGGCCAAGAGGCAATGCCTCTTGGCCTTTCCAATAGAGGACCTCTTCGCTTTGACAACAAAGACGAACCTCCGGCCCCCGATCCCAATAAAGTCCATTCCAACAAATTCTTCATAGCCGTCAGTTTCGGAGTCAGTAGAAATAATATCTTTTTTCCTTAGGAGTTCAAGCTTGCGCCCTGTCTCGCGTTTGAATGCCACCAGTATGGGAATTATTATAAGCAGAACCAGGTCGTTGACGTTCGCTTCTTTGAAGTCTTCGTCTGATTCCGTTGGATACCCTTCGGCTACAATAAATTCCACTATATTGTTGAAAACCTTTTTCTTAGCTTGCTTGAGTTGGTTGTTTTGGAGACCTTTGATATCGGAATTGACCAGCGCTAACATCTGGCTGGTGGATATGGCATTCCTCTCGAACTCCCTGAAGGTAAACCCGAGTCTCTTCTCGGCATCCAGCATGCTAACCTTCGAATATGCGGTCCGGTACTTGGGGTTGGTGGTTCGTTTCTTCCCGGTCTGTTGAATGTTGTTAGAACAGTTTGCGGGCCATTAAAAATTAAGCTCACCGAAGTCGTGTCCCCCTCCGTAGGCACCCCCGAACATGCAGTTTTATGTTCAGTGTTGGTTGACTTCTTCTGCCGAATATTGTCACCTGGTTAGAACAGTGTGCTGGGTACAGTACCGTAAATTCTCGGTAAACCCGACCCGCCGCCATACTTCTTAAGGTAGCCACTATTCCTCTTGAAGACCAACTCTGTGGCGAATTCGCTTTTCTGGGGATAGTGACTGCCATACATGTAATAGTGACGAGTCGAGTTTACCCCATGGGGATCTCAAGCTTACAGGAGTAGTGCCCGCCGCCCTAGATGCATCGTGGGCATTATGGTAGCAGCGGCAGATGCTCGCGGGGCCGAATGCCCGCTTAGTGGCAAGTCTGAACATGATCGGCGGCTAACTTCTCATGAATTTAGTTAGTCAGTCTTCAATAGATAGACAAATACCCGTAAAGCTCGCCAAAACCGCCACGCAGGACCACATCTCGTCGCACTCTAATTGGCCACAATCCTTGTACAATGGCCTTGGCTGCGTAACCAGTTGGCGAGTTTTTATGGGCATGACATGAAACCAACTTACCTTGTTATAATAGGAGGGTAGAATTGACTCCTGACACCAGTAGATAGGGTGTAACGTACTCGAGATGGGTAGAGAAAATAAAGGGCAAAGCTAAGTAGAATGGTGAAGTGGTGATGGGATTGATTCGTTGAGAGGAAGGTGTGGGTGCACTTTTCTACTCATGCGTCTCAGCCAAGAATTGGTTTCCCCATTTGTGGGAGTGAGTGTGGGCAGGTACTTTTCCACCAACGAAGTATAGTGGAGAACTAGCTGAGAGGTCTAACTATTTGGGGAATTGTCTCATACAACTCTTACTTCTCTGACGATGTTATCCCGTTCTACCAATTGAGTACAGGTTTTCTGATCACATACTAGTTATGCAACATCCAGACACTACTTTTTCTACCACACGTCACATAGGTTCACCCCTCCTTTTGTCCAATTAAATTGCTTTACCAGCACTTGACTTGGGCTTCATTTCGGGGCCTTTTCTTTCTTAAGCTTGTTTCCCCTTGGTCTTTGGACTGCTTTCTGGGCGATTAAGCTCATCTATTGACCTCCTTTGGGCTTGAGGAGATATCTGTGGCATTGACCCAGTATCCCAGGCTTCAAGTTGGTGATGGTAGGTCTTCTTCATGGGAGACAGGCCTTTATGGGCCACCGACCTTCCCCCCCCCTCATATCATGATCATTGTCCTCGGACAGCTCTGGAGACGACATTGAGGTGATGGTGACTTCTGCTGTCCCTCTCCCCCACGATGGCCATGGTTTGGTCCTGGTGACCAACCACTCATGTGATGTTTCTGGCTGGGACTTGGGATTTCTCCAGTTCCACCATGCTTACAGGTGTATCAACGCCTGCCAGGAGAAATTCGATGCACGAGTTCGGCAGGCGGCGCCCGATCAGGCATCCACTGGCAAGCTATACTCCGTAGTTGAGGCCATAGTTTCTGGCCTTCTTCGTGCTTCTCGATGTCCCATTACTTAGGGACTTGACCACGACAGGGTCATTAGGCTCCTACACCATCCCCACACCACAGGAAGCTTGTCCTTCGAGCCCTCCACTACTACCTCAGTGTGCCAGTGGCCCTCTGCCTCTTCCGCTGCAAATATGGGAGGAACTGCATTTGTCCTGGAAACTCAATTGGGAGCTCCTCCGGCTGAAACTCCCACTACTACGGTGGCTGCTACCTCTGGGAGGACCAATGATGGGATCCCGTGGGAGTGATTGAGCATGCTAACATCCCATGATTTGTTTCTAGGGGCTGCACCGTCATCAGTGATGCCCCATTGGATGAAGGAGTTGCCCTCTAGTGAGGGGCCATTGTACGCTGGTGGCCAGTTCCCATTCCAGAGCGACAACTTGAATGACAAGTCACATGCTCCGCGGTCAGACCCATTTGGGTTCCTTCCTATCCTGGACGCCATTAAGCATTTGTCGGTAACTAAGGGCGCTATTTGTGAAGAGGTGACGAGCACACCCTCCCCTGTACAGCCCAGTGCAGACAAAGGGGGCATGGTGTGCATGCCAGTGGTTGGGGGTGGGTTCCCCCATGATGCGATTAACTTTTCCGGGAAGCGGGTGGCTTCTCTGGACACAGACTATGGCTCGTTCCCAGTTACTGCCGGTGTCAGTCAGGTGGGGTGGAGTCTGTCTCTAGATTCCCACTTTGCCCAGTGCATGGCCGTTCCCGTGGCCGAGCGCAAGAAGTTGTTGGCGGTTGAGACTCCTCGTGTCTCGCTGACTGGTAGTGTGTGTCCTGTTGTCAGAGATTCCACTCTGGTTGTGTCTTCGATCCCTGCTGTGTCTCTCTTGCCAGCCCTGGTGAAAAATGAGAACATGGAGTTGGGGAGAGGCTGCACCTCCAAGGTGACTGGGTTGGGCGACAGTAAGTACGTCCACAACAGTGGTGATGCTAATCGTAATTGCCCGTCGGAATCTGGAACCCCCCTACCTATGTTGGTTAGTCTCCCGAGTACAGCCGAGACCCCCTCCCGCATCTGACAAGCCTTTGAAGAGGTCCTCGAGGATGACGACAACAACATTGCCTGCTGGGCAAGTGATGACACCCCGTGCCCTGTCGACCGGGAGATGCTCAATGTACTTGACCATATTTCGTCCGGCAATGCTCCCCCGCTGTCCCCTGAGACAGACATTCCCGCAACCATCAGGTTTGTCCAGATGAAGCTGGATCAGGAGTGGTACACCTCCTTCACAGAAGTGCATGAGGACATGAGTATGCTAGTACCCTCGGTTAATCGACTATGGGAGAATATGGCCCATCTGATATGCTAGCAGAGGCCAGACATCCAGATGGACAATGTCCAAGACAACACGCCTCAGGATCCTACTCCTGAGAAGAAGGAGGTGACATTTGCTGACGTTGCTGGTAGTTCACAGGAGCGCAAAGGGCGCAATCGGTACTGTGGGAAGAAGGCCATCCTGGCAGTCAACCTGATCACAATCCCAGCTGTCAAAGCCTCCCCCATCACTCCTGCCCCTCCTCCGCCCGCACCCACACCAGTGCCTGCACCCCACACCCCGGTACCCCAGGCCTGTGCTCCCGTGCCCCCGACCACCGCCAAGCCCCAGTTGGTCCAGATAGCTAAGAAGGGTGTACTGACCGACCCGGCCAATGTTGTAGCGCCTGCCCAGGCGGTCCAGATTCCCGAGGGACCAGCCACTATGGCTGGTAGCCAATGGGAGACAGTTACCCGGAAGCCGGCCCCCTCCCGCAAACCTGCGCTGAGGCCCTCTCGTCTGGCCACCTCGTTCCCATGTCCCAATGGGCATGAACGGCACCTTACGATGAGGTTCTGGATGAGGAACTGCATCATCCTCCTGGATGGTATGACAACTGAGACGATCCACTCTAGGATCAACATTGTTCTAGCCAATAGGGCCAAGATCGCTGGCAGCCACCGATATATTAGGGAGGCTCAGCTTAGACCTGATATGGGATACATCTTTTTGACGTTGGCTGACCACACACCTGATCAGATTTACGGGTGGCCAGACAGCTGCCACAGTGTTGTTATGCGTGACTTGGGGTTACCCGACTTCGAGTTTGTGAAGGACCAGGCCAAGAATAAGATCTTGGTGACAGGTGTGCCCCTTTCAGACACTGGGCGAGGTTTTGGCTGGAAGGTAGAGAACCGGACCGGTGATGAGGCCTCCGACGGCCTATGAGTTGACATTGAGGGTGCTAACCCCGGGTTGGTTGTTGCCAGGAGACCGTACCTTTTGGGGTCAATCATCACGCACA